CACCAAAGTGATCCACAAGTAATGGTATAAATCAAATGACTGGCCTGTTGTCCACCACAACTCCACAAGTGAAAACTCCAGTCCGCTCCTCCTCCTTCTCCAAGAAAACTAAAGAAAACTCTCTTCATCTTCAATTCTAATCTATCGTTGACTATGCCTGGTAAAGTAGCAAGCAAGAAAGGCGAGAAGAAAGCCGCCACCAAAACTCCCAAACCCACCGGAGACAAGACGAAAAAGAGAAGGCGTGTAAGGAAGGAGAGCTACTCCATTTACATCTACAAAGTCCTCAAACAAGTCCACCCAGAGACTGGTATCTCTTCAAAAGCCATGAGCATCATGAACTCGTTCGTCAACGACATCTTTGAGAAGATAGCTACAGAAGCATCTCGTCTTGCTCAATACAATAAGAAATCCACCATCACTAGTAGAGAAATACAGACATCGGTTCGTCTATGGCTACCAGGAGAGCTCTCTAAGCATGCTGTTTCTGAGGGTACCAAGGCCGTTACCAAATACACCAGTAGCAAATAGAAAGGCACTCGTATCTCTGATTGGCATTTATCGTTGATCATGTTCATCAAACGATTCCTTAACATCTGATTTATAACTCATTTATCTTGATATGTATTTTTGTCTTGTGTTTTTTGTTTAAAAAAGTTCCACTAAACCAAGAATTTATTTCTGAACCTGATTCACTCTTATTGTCATTTTGTTGATGATAATTCATTAAATTATTTGTAAAAATTATTATTGTTAACCGGAATAACTTGTCAAAAACAATGAACAGAATAATAATAAATGTTAACAAAGAGTGTGCAACTGTGCATAATAATAATGTAAAGAGTGGAAAAGGAGAGAGAAAAGAAAAATGTGAAAGTGGTTAGTGAGTGGATGACATAATGATAAATATACCATTAATAATAAAACGATAGTGAATAGGAATAATAATAATAATAATAATAATAATAATAGGGACATACAGTACACACAGAGCATCAATAAAACTATATAGGATCTCGATCATCCTCTATGTGCTGCTACTACAGTCTGATTCATCATCTATAAGGTGAGACGATTGGATTACTTTTCTGTGATATCTCATTGCTCTCTCATATGCCTGCTGTACAGATCTCTTGCTGGCTCCACTAGCTCCAAGCTGTGAGTGGTCAAAGTCCTTATTTATACCTAGCGAGTCAAGTTTGGTTGGATGCAGCCATTGCCTACAAAAAGAGGTACATATGTACAAGTGTATGTGTATTGTTATGTACATAATAATGTACGTATGCATCATTCTTTCATTCACTGTCTTGTCTCTCTGTCTCCCTCCCTTCTCTCTTACCAAGATCTTCTTCCATCAAAGAATCGTACTAGTATTGTATTCTGTGGGTTCTTGTCTTTATGTTCTAACACGTCGTCTGACGGTGCTTGTATAAATTCACCGTTAACTCTTAATCCTTCTGAGGGCATTTCAGGATCAATTACCTATAAACAAGTCATTAAATAAGACACACAAACAATATAAATAATAGACACAAACAAATGCCATTAAGATGTACACACACACACAAAGAAAATATAAAGAGGAGCTTAACAACATAAGGACATATAGACTGACCAGTGCTGGGTAGGAGGGATAGCCCCTACACTTGGCCCACACCAATTCAAGTGGCTCTGGCATTCTCTGGATACCGTTGGTGAGTCCGTTCAAACTCTTAGAGGAACTGGAAGATTGGGGAGGGAACAGCTGCTGCTTCCCTGAAGACTTTCTTCTTCGTTTAGATATTGGATTGTCACTATCACTCCCTCCCCTCCCTGAGCTGTCTTTCCTCTTTCGTGTATTTCGAGGGGAAGATACCGGAACAGTTAGATCGTCTAAACTGCTCCCTGAGGGTATCCTTAAATGTCTATTCTGATCGTTGTATTCAAGTAAAGAGTGGCTACTGCCCTTTTCCTCTGTGTGTGTACCATCATCTCCCAAGGAAGAGCAGCTACTTATAACTTGCTGTCTACTACTGGATCTTGTCCTGGATTTATTATTCACCCCAGCATTCCCTCCTATGGCGTTAGTAGTTTTATTACTGCTGCCTTCGCTTTCTTCAGATACACTCGTTTCACTTGACTTCCTAATCCTTGCTCTTCTGTCTCTGGTCTTCCTTCTCTCACAGGCCATGGGGTAGCTACGATTCCTTCTCCTTGGTTTTCGTCTGCTTTTGGATGAAGAGGAAGGAGGAGGAGGTGGAAGGACTCGGGGAGAGAGGGACCTGTCTTTCCAAGTCACTCGTGTTGTTTTTCTCTCGGATCTTCTTATGGAGTTTTCACTTAGCCTCGATACATCTTTCACTTCTTTTTCAATTTGCTCTTCTTCTTCTTCGTTCTCTTCACCCTCCTCCTCCTCCTCTTCCTCCTCTTCTTCGTTCTCTTCCTCCTCCTCCTCCTCCTCCTCTTCTTTCTCTTCTTCTTCCTCCTCCTCCTCTTCCTCTCCTTCCTCCTCCTCTCTCTCCTCTCCCTCTTCCTCTCTCTCTTCTTCCTCCTCTTCTTCTTTTTCCACTTCCATTTCCTCCTCCTCCTCCTCTTCCTCTGCCTCCTCTCTCTCCTCTTCCTCAGCTACTAGTCTTTCTTCTTCCTCTCTCTCCTCTCTCTCTAGCTTAGTCTTTACTCTCTCGTCAAATTTTATTCCAGAGGATGACAAGATGGCTCTCCTGGAGTCAGTCAATCTTAGGCTACCGTGTAATAGTTGACTAGCAAGGCCTTCGGCATCTTGTGTTGCTGGAGCAGACGGGGCAGGTCTCCGCCTTGGAGGTGACGTAGCATCTAAAATTTGAAAAAACTCTAGTCAAAATTAAATTTGTGAAGTTGCTCAAAAAACTGGCTAAAGATCTGTACTATAGTATAAGGTACATGTACATGTATTTGCCAACAATTGCTAGGAGAAATCTTCCACTTTTATTTCTCATGCATACATGTGTGCCAATCAAATTTGTTTAAAATTTTCAAACTAGCTCAAAAATCAGGCCAAAGTCCCTGTACTATAGTACACGATCTTCAGCCAAATTTTGTCAAAAATGGCTAAGAAAGAATTATCCATTTTTTTTTTTTGATGCGTATACATGTTCTTATGTTGTTTAGAAAGTTTGAGTTGATTCCAATCCAAATTAAATTTTTTTTACAAATTTTTCAAATTGCTTAAAACTTGGGCCAAAGTCCCTGTTATAGTACAGTGTATTTGGCGAAATTTTGTCAAAAATGGCTAAGAGAGAATTCTTTATTTTTATAATTTTTTCTAATATGCATACATTTTCTTATGTTGTATAGCAAGTTTGAGCTGATTCCAATCAAATTTAGATTTTTTATGAATTTTTAAAGTTGTTAAAAATTGACCAAAGACCCCGTACTAATGGCATGTTCCTTGTATGCTAAGGTACATTGTATGTACATAAATGTATGGTATATTGCTTACCAGGATCATTTGCTTTGTCTCTGAGTTTAATTTGCCTCTTCAATGAATTCAATTCCTTTCTTAATTGCTTCTCTTTTGTTGTTTTACGAGCTATTATAAAAGAAAAATAAATGAAAATGCCCACCTTTAATTCAATTACTCTCCTCCTTCTTCCCCCCCCCTCTCTCTCTCTCTTACGTCTTTTTCCTTGTGACTCCATTACGCTAAGTTGCTCCTCCAGATATTCCACCTGCTCATCCAGTGTGGTGCTGTTGTGTCTCTCTCTTGTAAAGTCTAGTCTACAGCAAGTCTCGTCATTATTGTCACCATATTCTCCATCTAAGGAAAACAAGAGTTAAACATAAATAAATATAATGATAATAATAATCTTTTAGTTACTCAATCGGTATATAAAAAATATTGTATCACCATTACATACTGTAATATCCCCCAACCTTAATCACATCCATATTATTATTATTATTATTCTGTATAGCGCTTTACTTTTGCCGAGCAAAACTTTCACAGATTCAGTTTTTTTACAGAAATAACTTTTGCAGATTTGTATAATGTTAGCAGGGCTTCATTAAGGGGGGGGTGGAGGGGGGCACTCGCTCCCCCCCTTGACTGACTTATTATAATAAAAAATTTCATTACCCCAGTAGTACATTGTATAAGTGTTGTGAGTACACATTGTGCATGCACAATAGAAAATATTAGCGAAATAGAGACCCCTCTTCTTTCAAATATTTTAAATCCTGCCTCCCTTGTATAAAATTCTAGATGAAGGCCTGGTTAGGGCCAGATCCTTAATGGTGATTGAATATTTTGTAGAGTTTCAAATTGCACGGTTGCATTGAAATCCATAAAAACTACAAAAGCTTTACTCCTCAAAATAAAGTACTATAATTATGTTATTATTATTATTATTATTACTATCATTATTATCACTATTATTATTGTTACTATTATTATACATGTACTGTACATGTACATGTAGCTTACCTTTTCCAAACATGTCCATTGCTCTTACAGCAGCGACAGTGTTAGGTGTGAGAGGAGGTGGTTCCTCTACATCAGGATCATGAAGACCCGTTGACTTGTTGATACCAGCCGACTTTATCTGACCATAAGCTTGGTCTAATATACGTTTAGCTGTGCAATAGAAAAGGAGAGAGAGAGAGAGAGATTCATTTTGATCTCATAAATTTTTAACACATAAAAGTACATGTACACGATCTAACTTGACCCAAAAATAATACACGTACATGTATGTACATGTACATAGTATTCAGCTAAAATGCTACAAAATTTACTGTTTTTATTTATGTCATGTAGAAAGTTTGAGTTGAAACAAATAACCAAAATTTTTAATTCTATGCAATAGTTTTAAGTACATTTATTCATAAATAGTGTCAATGATTTATCTTACCAACATCTCTGATCCTCACAGCTGCTCTGTAATAAATGGTGTCTTTCTGATTATAAGTCATGGCATTGTTCCAGACCAGTTTCAAGTCGGACTCAAACTCTTCCAAACTCTTATATTGATGGGAGTCGAGTTTTGAACGCATTGTACTGAAATCCATGGGACATTTTATAACGTCTAAGTAATCAGGTACCTACATGTAACAATAACAATAAATATAAATAATAATAAAGCAATAATAAAAGCCTACATGGTTAATAGATTACATTACATGTGTAATTATCTCTCTCTCTCTCTCTTTCTCTTACATCATCCAGTGGAACTGGTTCAGCAAATATATCAGCAGGGTCCTTGGCAGCTAGTCTAGTGAGAAGTCTCTTCATTATCATTTCAAGCGGAGTCAAGCGTAACCTGAATGCTTCCTCAGACATCCTCAACTGGAGAGAGAAATAGAAACAGAAAGTAGTGATGGCATAGTGATAGTACATGTACATGTACATAAATGTACATGTGTTAAGTACATGTACATGTACACCATGAATGTACACTATGTACAAGTAGTGGGTGTGTGTGTGTGTTTCATTACTTGTTCTCTCTTCAGTTTCTCTCTCTTCCTAACTAGTTCCACTAGCATACGAGCTCTCTCAAGGTCGTGTCGTAAAGTCTTCCAAAGACTCAACTGCTCGGTAAGGGCTTCTCTCTCTTCCTCAGATAAATTCTAAAAAATAAATTGAAATAAAATACAATAACAAATATCTTGACCAGTGCATTTATGTACCGTACAAGTATCAATGATTACTTTGACATTATAAATCAAATTAATTATTATTAATCTAATCATCCACTTACAATGGCAACTGTGGTCTTCTGTCCTTTATTTGATGCTTGTAATCGTCGAAGGAAAGGGACTCCGTTACGAGACTGTCTCTTAAGTTTCCAGTAACTGACAAGTTTAGGAATGAATTGAGCTTTCTTGTGTAACGATACCCTGGTGATGATCCTATCCAATCTGGAGAGAGAGAGAGGGGGCAAGAGAGAGAGAGAGACAGAGAGAAAGAGAAGACAGAATCAGAAGGTAAATACAGTATAAGATAAAAAGGTACATGTATAAATACAAATGTGAGACCATAAAATATAAAAAGATGAAGTACCTGTGTTGTGGTATGTAGGGTATATTAACAACTGGTGCTTGTGTGACTCGTTGCTGCTCCAATATCTTCCTTGCCCTCTTTACAACTTTGCTCTCACTCTTTCCCTTCTTGCAGAGCTCCTCTCCTCCTCCTCCACCACCATCTGTCCCTGTATTCTCACTCCCTCCAGTCAACGGAGTCTGAACGCTCTCCTCTCTCTCTGACTCCTCGGCACTCTCAATATTCTTAATACTCTCCATGAGCTTCTTACGGGCAGAGAGAGGAGTGTGGCTATCACAGAAAGCAGACTTACAAATGTCGCCATTCTTCCCCATCTCTATCTTCATGCAGAGGTTAGCTTGTTGGGCGCACGTTACATGAAAAGCAACATAGCAGTTTGCTTTGGCACACTGAATACAGGCACCAGTCCTCTTGCGACAGATATAACAGAGTAGCTTCCAGCGGGCAGAAGGAACGTCATTGATACCATCAATTGGTTCTAGGAAGACCGGATTAGCAAATTGTATCTCCGGTATCCATAGACCACATATGACGTGCGACCAGCGTCCATCGATCGTCTGTTTAAAAGCCCCGCCTTTATTGGGACACAGGACGCAGTCGACGCTACGGGATGGTGATTGTAAGCAGCGTCTACAGAGCCATTGTCCCTCTGGTATGTACGGTACACCATAGCACTCTTGGTGAACTGCTAGATTACACATATCACAAAAGAGAATAGCGTTAGTGTTGTGGCACTCTCCATCGTTACATATACAGCAGACAGCATTCTCGTCTATGTTATATGGATTAGTTGATTCCGTTCCATTCCCTGTCACGTGGCTCTCAAAGACACACTCTTTCTCTAGTCGATCCATCAACAGCTCAAAAGCTTCTTGAGGTACTGAAGTAAGTCCTTCGCTCTTTCTCTCTTCGTTGATCAGTGACAGCCACTGGTAGTCCTCCTCGTCCATATCATACTCCACCATCTCATCAAGCTCTTCACTGGACTGCTCTATGAATCGATAGTACACAGAGTCTCTGGGCGGAGCATCTTGTACCTCAGCAGCATCAACATGAGTAAAAATGGCTTCAGGTATTTGAACGGCTTGATTCGCTGGGGTTTCACCGTGTGGCGTGTTCTTTAACTTAGAGCGTCTCTTGCTAGCGCTCTTGGACGAGGATTTATTAGAAGGAGTGGCGTTAGCACCTTTCGATCTTCTTTTAGGAGTGTGGGAGGTGGACGAGGAGACAGCATCAGACTGAGATTTGCCATCATTTTTTGAATCGTTGTCTCCAAAATAGGCAGGGAAAGAGGCGGAGTCTTTGGCCAGTGAAACGTGAGAGTCGATCTCAACCCGATGATACTCGTAATCAAGCTCAAACTCGACAAAACGCTGCGACTCAGCCCACGTGAGTGCCTCTCTCTTTGGAGTCTTTTTACGAGAGGACATCGGAGAGGAAGGAGTACGGACGGGGGGAGTACCACCTCTGGTTGGGGTATCACCACCAACCATGCAGCGAGGACGTTTTGTCACACCTCTAAACTGTCCAATATGATATAAAATACCAGGAAGACTCTTGTACTCTTTTTTACAGTAAGGACAGACAAGGGGGACAGAATGATCTTTGAATTGCTGTGCTAAGACTTTACTGTCTAAGACTGGGACTTCAGACATAATTAAAGGCTTCGGGGAGGTCTGAGAATAAGTGTTGATATCAGAGAGAGAAGGAAAAGAGAGGGGGAGAGGGTGGCTAGGTTGTTAAAGCCAAAAGAGAGAGACTCACAGAGGTTTTGGGGTGTGACTAGTGAAAAACTCCGCCTCCTGTTTGAAATGAGAGAGTTAAAACTTGTACTAAAATGAAAGCGAGAAGGTCAGTTAGGACAGATCTGATCTGACTGTATGTCTCTTTTGTTCTCCTCTTCTCTGTAGATCAAGAAAATGGAAGCAATCCTCTTTTGTGAACAACATTCGAATTGGCGGCCATTTTGGGGGAAGCGATAAAATAAGTCACGTGACAACTGGCGGCCATTTTGTTTACACCCACGCATACAAAAACGGGCGTGGTTCAAACATTCAAACCCCGCCTTATTAAAGATTTATCATTGCCACGCCCATCAAAGGAAGAGTATCATCTAGTACATTCTCTGGCCCTGAACTTTCCATCTTTGTTTCTAATTTTTATATTATTTCTGAGGTTTCATTAAGGTGAGACTCATGCTATAAAGGGATTGTGTTCATATTTCCCGTTAGCAGTTTGGCTTAAAGGCATGCTCCTGTCATCCTCCACCTCTTCTAAGTGCCCCTTCTTGTCAAGAGTGTCAAATTCCTTCATTGCTCACTCTGGTCCTTCCTTGGGTCTCTATTCCCAGCGCTGTCCAGTTATGTCTCGCCTCCTACATACAGCGACCAAAGCTCCTGTGTCTGGCAAATGTCCCTTTGCAGCTCGCAGCATCAATGCAGGTGATTATAAGTGTGGTAACTATGGTAATTATGGTATTATTAACTCTTGGGAATATAGTTTCCATTCTCTTCTTTCTCCTTCATTGACTGATACATGATTACATACAATATCCATGGCTGCATTATTGCATTATTTTGCATATATTCTGTTTCATATCCTGTTTTGCTTTACTTTCTTCCTCTCTCTTTCTCTCCTTTTCTCTCTCCATTATAGAGCGTCTCTATCTCTCTGTTCACAGCAGCCTTCCAAGAGCTAATACTTCAGCCAGTGCTGCTCTTTCCTGCCCTTACAAGGCGTTTTCTCGCAGTTTCTCGACTTCTGCTCCGCTGGCTGCAAAAACAAGCTCTGAGAAGAATGCAAACTTCAAGGAGGGAATTATACCTCAAGGTATGTACATGTACATTAAAATACAATTACAAGTGTAATGACAATTTTTGCATTACATTTAAGACATATTTTTTGTCTGGTCCATTGTTATCATAATATTTTATGATTAGCACTGCTATGTGTTTACATACATGTATTTCATCTCCCTTTCTCTTTCTCTCTCCCTCTCTTAAGGTAATTGTCCATTCAGTTGGTCGGATATGATAAGTGCAACTATTAAGGATAAGTTTCAAAAGTTGACCAAGACCCCACAACTGGTTGCTAAGGATACAAAGGAAGGCAACGCTGTACCACTAACTGGTAAGTGTAATAACTTGATTATGTTTTGCATTAGTGTATTCAGACACCATATGATTCTTATCTAATACTATATAATCATATTCAATTATGGATACTACAGGCACATACGGGCTAGTCTAATATTATATAATATATTATAATGCCTATCTGTGGATTGGCTAGTAGTAAACTCTGTAATTTAATAACTGAATATCAGTCATGATAAGAGCATATATTAGTCTTCCTAAGTCACGGATTGGCTGTACTCACAGAATATTTATGGACTTTGTGTACTATGTTTGGAGCCCTTGTTTATCTTCATAATCTTGTCCAATTACTCCATTTCCTTTCTGGTCTTACTCTCTTTCTCTTTCTCTCACAGCTGATGGTGGCTTGGACTACGAATCCTTCTTCCAGCAGAAGGTCCAAGATAAAATAGACGACAGCACTTATCGCAATTTCCGAGTTTTGGCCCGTAATGCTGGGCACTTTCCAACTGCAAAGCATTTCAATGATCCTTCCATCCCAATAGAAGAAGGAAGGGACATAACAGTTTGGTGTTCGAATGATTACATGGGCATGAGTAAACATCCTGATGTATTGAAAGCTACAATGTAAGTAATAATAGATTACACTCTTTGTTTATTCTCTCCTCTCCCCCTCTCATTTTCTCTTTTTCTAGTGATACTATTAGTCAGCATGGTATTGGAGCTGGGGGGACTCGTAATATTTCAGGAACCAGTTACTATCATTGTGCACTTGAGAAGGAGGTTGCTTCCCTGCATCGAAAAGACGCTGGACTCATTTTCAGTTCTTGCTACGTTGCCAATGATGCCTGCCTCTCAACCCTCTGTAGCATGTTGCCGGATTGCGTAATATTCTCCGATGCCGGAAACCACGCCTCCATGATTGCCGGTATACGTCACAGTGGAGCAAAGAAGGAAATATTTCGTCACAACGACCCAGCCCACCTTGAGCAACTTTTGCAAAAATACGACCCTCACCGACCGAAATTAGTTGCTTTTGAGTCAGTGTACTCAATGAGTGGCAATATTGGGCCTATCAAAGAGATATGTCAAGTTGCAAAGAAATACAACGCCATTACGTTCATTGATGAAGTACATGCTGTTGGTCTTTATGGTGACCAGGGAGCAGGTGTGGCAGAGAGAGACGGTCTCTTGGACCAGTGTGACATTGTTTCTGGTACTCTCGGGAAAGCTTTTGGAGCTGCAGGAGGTTACATAGCTGGTTCCAAGTACCTCATCGACATGATACGTAGCTATGCATCTGGTTTCATATTCACCACGGCCATGCCCCCAATGCAAGCTGTAGCTGCACTTACTTCCATTAGGATCCTTAGAGGAGAGGAAGGGAAAGGATTACGAAGGCGTCATCAAGCTGTTGTCAAGCAATTGAGAGCTGCTTTGACTGGATCAGGGCTTCCTGTCCTACCTAGCCCCAGTCACATTATACCACTACATGTATGTGCCTATTGTATTGTGTGAATACCTTGCATTGAATGGTATCATTTAGTACTTTGTATGTTAATAGCAGTTCATGACTAGAATTAAAATACTACAGTAATTAGCAACACTGTGATTAGTGATTTAAATCCTGTTGATAAAATCCCTCTCTTTTTTCTATCTCTGTAGGTTGGTAATGCTGAATTGTGCACTAAAGCTTCAAGGCTAATGATGGAGAAGCACGGAATCTATGTACAAGATATAAATTATCCAACAGTTGCTCGTGGAGAAGAAAAACTCCGGATCGCCCCCACTCCTCATCACACTGATGCAATGAAAATGGTTTTCGTTGATGCTCTCCTTGATACCTGGGCTGAATTAGGACTGCCTCTGGTTGAAAGACCAGTTGCCCCACAGCCTGCTTGCTTCAAGTTGTCTCTTGATTTGCCTCCTTCGTTTGCTCCTGGAGCGGCAGCGATTGCAGTTCAAGCTTGATAATAGTCATAATGATGATCATCACATTATTTATTATTATCAATATTGTTGGTAGTGACTGTATTAGAAAGAATCATTCTTTCTCTGATTTCTTTAGAAAAACCATTGATAATCAAATTAAACTGAAACTCTATTACACCCCCGGGAGATAAATTTTAAATAATATTTCCTGTGGGCCCGCCTGAAATAGACCACACCACTTATTAAGCTTATAATTATTCATAGCCTGCAGGGTGCCAAAAATTTTGAACCAATGAAAATGTTCAGAGAGTCACGTGCCAGTTAAAAGGTATCCATTCCATTGTTGTCATTATCTCACAAGTCACAATTTCTGTCTCGCTGTAGCAGTGTCTGCACGGACTCAGATAACTTATAAACTAATTCTTTTTCCTCTTTTAGAAACACTCTTCTGTTTTAGTATCTAATAAAACACAATGGCTACACCAGGTAAAGGATATAACTACGTTAACCTGGACGACCTCGTTCGCCAGAACTACACCGCAGAGTCTGAGGCAGGCGTCAACAAGCAGATCAACATGGAGCTGTCAGCTATGTACACCTATCTCTCCATGGTAAATAGGGATTTTAGTTTTGAGTTTTTAGTGGTTTTGATTTAACCTCAATCTTTTTCTTCCTGTTTCTAGTCTTATTATTTTGACAGGGCTGATGTAGCTCTTCCCAACTTTGCAGCTTACTTCAAGAAGGCAGCTCATGAGGAGTTTGAACATGCTGAGAAGTTCATGGAGTTCCAGAACAAGAGAGGTGGTAAGATCATCCTCTCTGATATCAAGAAGCCAGAGAAAGATGAGTGGGGAGTTGGTATTGATGCTATGCTCACAGCGCTAGCCCTGGAGCGTAAAGTAAACCAATCTCTGCTTGATCTTCACGCCATTTCAGACAAAGGGAATGACTACCATATGTCCGATTTCATCGAGGGCAACTTCCTTCATGAGCAGGTTGATGCCATCAAGGAGCTGACTGGACACATCACTAATCTGAAACGTGTTGGTGAGACTGGTCTTGGTGAATACCAGTTTGATAAGGAGTCTCTCTCATCTTGAGAAAAGTGGCTTTTAATGTTTGAACTTTAGGTTGAACTATGCTATTAGGCCTTTTGTATCATTAATTATTTACTATCTTTTAATGTTTACTTTTAAGTTGTAATTGTGACTTGACCAAAAATGGAGGGTTTAAAACATCTATGGTTTAAAATAGGTTTCAAACATTTCACAAGTGTGAGGCCGGGCAAAGGGTGTGTCTAGCTGCAAGCTCCACCCACCCACGTGGAATATGATGGCGACCAAAATGATAAAGAAACCAAAGGGACAATCTAGTCTTTCCTGGGAAGCTTCTCTGACCAAAACGGCAAAACTAACTCGTTCTTTGGCACAAAAGATTGTACTTTATAAGGATGGTAAGCTGAATGCTATAGAATTTTAAATATCTATTCTAAAGATGATATAATTGCCATCAACAAGCCACCAGGACTAGCAGTTCAAGGTTAGGAATAGTCTCCCTTCTTGTTCCTACTCTTTGAATAATCTTTAGGTGACCCTAACGCTAGTCTGGTATCACAAATGGGCTACTGGCAGTATGATAGTCCCCGTCCTCCTGGCCTAGGGCATCGTATAGACAAGTAAAGTGTATGTGGGTTTGTTTGTATGTCACTTGACAATTAATTAGGGACACGACTGGAGTATTGTTATTGACAAGGAACTCTAAGTCGGCTCAAAGGATCAGAGAACTGATTGAAAATAAGCAGATTATCAAAAAATACTGGTCCGTGATCATTATTCTTCACATTGTTGTTTTTATCTTTGTGATTTTAAGGGCTATCACAATTAATGTGCCAGAGAAGACAAGTGGTAATCAAAACATTAAATTGCTCATATATTTTTACTTTCTGCTAAAGGCTCCATCACAATTCCACTAAGCACCAAGAACATTGCAACCAGCAAGTCAAAGTCACTTTATAGGGTAACAATACTTTATCATTGTATTAATAGTTCATCATAATGTCCTAGGTTATACTGAGAACTGACAAAGCTGAAGATTTTAGCAAAGTCAGTAAGATCATCATCATCATGAATAGTTTTAAATGTAATTGTATAGCAAGAAATTTTGGAGGGAGTTAAATGTGGTGAATTGATAAATTTTGGTGATTGGTGCCTTTTAATTTGGTGAATTTGTGGTACCAAAATGGCAGATTTTTCTTTTGGCGAATGGCTATCAAAATGCCAAATTCGCCAAATTTAATTTCCTCCAGAATTTCCCACTATATGGTACTCTTTTTGAAGAGGATTTTACGAATGCTTTCCTTTCAGCCATATCTTTCAATTATTTAGGAAAAAGCAGGCTCCAAGCTGTATGGTAGTGTATGCCTAGCATGGACTGACTACACTGTCATCAGCAGAAAGGGCTCCATTTCATCTTTGCTGGACATTAACCTAAGGACAGGCTTCAAGCACCAAATCAGAGCTCACTTAGCTGATGGTCTCTGTTGCCCAGTCCTAGGAGACTACCTTTTTGCTGGGCCTTGGTTCAGGAAGGAGAAATCACTTGTGAGGAAGATAGAGAACATTGGCAGCCATGCTGGATATGTTCGTGGACCTCTTTACCTTCATGCATATGAAGTGTCCATACCAAGAGAAGGGGGACAGGACCCTATTGTTATCAACGCAACTCTACCTAAATACTTTATTAGTACTCTCAATGCACTAGGACTTAGAGTACCTTATCGTTATGCAAAGCTAGCTAGGTAGTAGTCTGTATTTCATTGCTAATTGAGAAAGAAATTGTAGTCATCTAATTAGGTGGAGGTCAATATTTTAATTTTATGCATGTGTGTGTAGTTGCTGCACGTGAATTGACCTTTTATTATCAGCAAAATGCTGTATAATGTTATACAACACTTCAGCGATTATTACATGTCTTGGTCATGTGAGTGAAATTTGTAATAACTGACCAATCAGAATCCACTTATTGCGAAGCGTTGTATAAATCTACACGTCCTTTCCTCCCTTACTTCAGTTGTCTTGCTGTGGCAGTGACTGCACGGACTCCTGTGATACTTAAGATCTTTCCTTCTCTTACTATTAAAAGTAAGGTGCCTTCCTTTGCAAACCTTTTAGCCTACCTTTTACAGACTTCTTGAATCTTGATCGAGTACAATGGCTACTCCAGGCAAAGGTTACTCTTACGTTGACCTGAATGAGCTTGTCCGCCAGAACTACAGCGCAGAGTCTGAGGCAGGCGTCAACAAGCAGATCAACATGGAGCTGTCAGCTATGTACACCTATCTCTCCATGGTAAAACCATTTTTTTGTCTCTATTTAAAAGTTTCCTTTCTTTTTAATTGCAGGCCTATTATTTTGACAGGGCTGATGTAGCTCTTCCCAACTTTGCAGCTTACTTCAAGAAGGCAGCTCATGAGGAGTTCGAACATGCTGAGAAGTTCATGGAGTTCCAGAACAAGAGAGGTGGTAAGATCATCCTCTCTGATATCAAGAAGCCAGAGAAAGACGAGTGGGGGGTTGGTATTGATGCCATGACTGCTGCTCTGGCTCTGGAGCGTAAAGTCAACCAAGCTCTGCTTGATCTTCATGCTGTGTCGGACAAAGGGAATGACTACCAGATGTCTGATTTCATTGAGGGCAACTTCCTTCATGAGCAGGTTGATGCCATCAAGGAGCTGACTGGACACATCACTAACCTGAAACGTGTTGGTGTCACAGGTCTTGGTGAATACCAGTTTGAGAAGGAGTCCCTCTCTTCTTAAGAAGTCTCTTAAGAACTTGCCTCATGTTGCTGAACTGAACTATTATACTATATATTATATTAGGCCTTTGGTATGCTAGCTTATTATTAATCTTAGCTGATGTGCTGTTACCCTTTTTTTGAGTAAAATTGTAACTTGAACAATAAAAAAAGATTTGAACAAAAAGTGTGAACATTATTAGTAGCAATGGCAAGCATTGGTGTGAATCAGCCAGACCTTACTTGGGGAGTTGCGAAATATGAATAATCTTTAGATATCCTTTTATAGCTTGATGGAATGTTACAATAGCAATATTCATTAGTCTTGTGACACTAATGAATAATATTACTATTGTCACAAGACTACTATTGTTGTTGATTATAAATGACAACAATGCTGTATACACTTCAGCATAATTACTCACATGTCCTGGAACCACTTGATAACAGCCATTGGTATACATTATCAAAATTGCTACATGTAGGTAATATGCACATACACTTGCATGGCACAAGAGTTGGGGACAACTTTGGGTTTTTTAAGGGAAACCCTGGGCTATATACCTAATGGTTTTTCAGTAATTGGACTATTCATGTCAATAGCACTTATAGACTATTGTTTACAAAACGAGCTCTTACTATTCAAATTAAAAAACAATTAAGTAATATTTCTTGAGATTATGTCAGAAAATTCATTGAGGGTATCTTTCAAACACAGCCTAACTTCCAAACTATTGCAAGTGACTGTGTCAACTAGCAATGGATACAGCAAGCATAGCTTAGGCCACAGAGACGAATCAACTAATTTTAGAGGGAGAGAGAGAGAGAAAGAGGCATAAAAATGGGAGAAAAGTTTATCACTGCTAACCAGCTTTCTTGTGCTTAAGAGATTGTATTAGAAAAGTCAGAGATTTTAATACAAGAACAACTTCATTCATTGAAGATCTATATGTAATAATCAATAATAGTAATAAGTAATTATACTAGGGTATAGAACTACCTTGATGGTGGACAGCTACCACTCAGTCTCTCTTCTTCAATGTAGCCTTTCAAAACATTTTCAGATCTTTCCAAAATTGCCGTTAAAGCTAATAACACAACATTATCATCATAGCATACACATTTAGCCATACAAGGCAATTTATTGGCAATGCAAGTAGCAATTAGATAGTAATAGTTTGTAATGGAAATTTAGCAGTGAACGTGCCAATTAGCGTGCGTTGCTTCACTTGCTTGCCAATTGCTAAAGCCAATAAATGTGTCTATAGTACAAACTAACCATCCTGTGAGTTATTCTCTTCTTCCATAAATGACAATTGCAAAAGCAATTCAAAACAATTTTGAGCAAAAGTTTCTCTCAAAGGAATTTGACTACTAGCTCCTAAAACAATGAAAAGAATAAATAAACAAATAAATTAATAATGATTAAATACCTGTTAATAAAGAGCCTTTATTCAACAGTGTTGTCCAGTTTGTTACAAAAGATTGAGGAACATTATTAACCTCTTCTCCTTCAAACAATAGTAACGACACAGTTTTTATTAGCTGTTATTGTTAGTAATTATAATTACCAAGTATACAAAATTATAAATTACTGTAATATCAATTTCCTCAGAATTCTTGATCTCTTCTTCGCTCATTAATGATTCTTCTTGTGTTCTAATAAAAAATTTTATGCTAATACTCTGTATATTATGTAAAACTTACATTTCAGCAAAGAGGAAATCTTTAAAGATAACAATTAATTGGTTCCAAACGTCACTGTCTTGCTTCAACATTGGAAGGCATAATTTAAGTAACGATAATAAAACATTCAATGGAATTATCCACAAGGAGGCCGGAGTCAAAGAGTATCTTAACTTTAAAGGAACATGCAACACCTAAAAATAAAATATAATAATAATAACAGTCTATACTGATTTATAACTTTTATGATTTACTTTAATAAAGGTTTGTACATATGCGTTGGCAAGCTCCTTGTTGTTGACAATATAACTGGCAAATAATTGAAGGGACAGAGTCAAACAGGACATAGAGAAAGGATTCATATTAACATTAACAATCGGAGACTTCACATCAAGTGGGACTAATGAAAGAGGCTGCGGAGGAGTCCACGAATACGAAGAGTACAATAAAAGTTCGTTAATTACTATAGACATGAGGGGGTAAGACTCAGGAAATAATGTTAACTGTCTCTCGATGTTGCTAATTTTTGATTTATTTATTAAAGAGTTCTTCGTTTTATGTTCCTCTTCATCGAAGACGTTGTCACCAGTGAACATACAGACTATACAGGAGAGGACGTTCCTCTGAAGGGATGTAATTAAACTGTCGTTTGTTGAGGGAACTAGGAATGGAGAGACATCCCTAGATACAGGCATTAGTAATGAGTTACGGAATATGCTAGTGGCTGTGTTTAAACGCTGATATGTGACTGGGTAGTGTGCAGTGAGAAAAGGGAATATCTCTAAATAGCTTATTAGGAATGTTTGGCTAGGAATATCGTTAAAGAATTTATCAATGTCATTCTGAGACTGGTATGAAGAGAGGAAATCACGGATTGAGTCTTCCGGTGGAATGATGATGCTCTTGTTGCCAATTGCCACCCAAGTGGACCAGGCCTTTTCCCATAAGGAAGCAATAGAGTCCTCTCTGTTCTCCATACCATCACTGCTAATGTCTAGTATCATTTTGAAGCTATTTAATGCAGCCAATGACACCTAATATAATAATAATAATAATAATTATTATTATTATTATACAGCAAGTGGTATTTTTCAGAATTGATGTGACATAATTTAAAAACTTTTAATCAGAATCAACTCAAACTTTCTATTTTTCAAAATTTGCTAGTTTTTAAAAATTGCTCATAACTTCAGAATTTGAGCTCGGAATCGGCTCAAACTTTCTACATAGCATAAGGACATCAATATGCATCAGAAAATGTAATAAAAATTTGGGGTGATTTTGGAGCCATTTTTTGGAAAAAACCATGGGCTATAGCCTTGGGTATTTTTCAAAATCTGCTACTTTTTAAAAATTGCTCATAACT